TGTATTGCGTGTGTATTGATAGTATATTGTGTTTGTATTGATAGTGTATTGTGTTTGTATTGATAGTGTATTGTGTGTGTATTGATAGTGTATTGTGTGTGTATTGAGAGTGTATTGTGTTTGTATTGATAGTGTATTGTGTGTGTCTATTGATAGTGTATTGTGTTTGTATTGATTGTGTATTGTGTGTGTATTGATAGTGTATTGTGTGTGTATTGATTGTGTATTGTGTGTGTATTGATAGTGTATTGTGTTTGTATTGATAGTGTATTATGTGTGTATTGATTGTGTATTGTGTTTGTATTTTATTTTGTGTGTGTACTGAGAGTGTTATTGTGCTTGTATTGATAGTGTATTGTGTTGTATTGAGAGTGTATTGTGTTTGTATTGATAGTGTATTGTGTGTATATTGATAGTGTATTGTGTGTGTATTGATAGTGTATTGTGTGTGTATTGATAGTGTATTGTGTTTGTAATGATAGTGTATTGTGTGTGTATTGATAGTGTATTGTGTGTGTATTGATAGTGTATTGTGTTTGTATTGATAGTGTATTGTGTTTGTATTGATAGTGTATTGTGTGTGTATTGATAGTGTATCGTGTGTGTATTGATAGTGTATTGTGTGTGTATTTATAGTGTATTGTGTTTGTATTGATAGTGTATTGTGTTTGTATTGATAGTGTATTGTGTGTGTATTGATAGTGTATTGTGTTTGTATTGATAGTGTATTGTGTGTGTATTGATAGTGTATTGTGTGTGTATTGATAGTGTATTGTGTTTGTATTGATAGTGTATTGTGTTTGTATTGATAGTGTATTGTGTGTGTACTGATAGTGTATTGTGTGTGTATTAATTGTGTATTGTGTGTGTATTGATAGTGTATTGTGTTTGTATTAATGGTGTATTGTGTTTGTATTAATAGTGTATTGTGTGTGTATTAATAGTGTATTGTGTGTGTATTGATAGTGTATTGTGTGTGTATTGATAGTGTATTGTGTTTGTATGAATAGTGTATTGTGTGTGTATTGATAGTGTATTGTGTTTGTATTGATAGTGTATTGTGTGTGTATATATTGATAGTGTATTGTGTTTGTATTGATAGTGTATTGTGTGTGTATTGATAGTGTATTGTGTGTGTACTGATAGTGTATTGTGTGTGTATTGATAGTGTATTATGTGTGCATTGATAGTGTATTGTGTTTGTATTGATAGTGTATTGTGTGTGTATTTATAGTGTATTGTGTTTGTATTGATAGTGTATTGTGTGTGTATTGATAGTGTATTGTGTTTGTATTGATAGTGTATTGTGTGTGTATTGATAGTGTATTGTGTGTGTATTGATAGTGTATTGTGTTTGTATTGATAGTGTATTGTGTTTGTATTGATAGTGTATTGTGTGTGTACTGATAGTGTATTGTGTGTATTAATAGTGTATTGTGTGTGTATTGATAGTGTATTGTGTTTGTATTAATAGTGTATTGTGTTTGTATTAATAGTGTATTGTGTGTGTATTAATAGTGTATTGTGTGTGTATTGATAGTATATTGTGTGTGTATTGATAGTGTATTGTGTTTGTATGAATAGTGTATTGTGTGTGTATTGATAGTGTATTGTGTTTGTATTGATAGTGTATTGTGTGTGTATATTGATAGTGTATTGTGTTTGTATTGATAGTGTATTGTGTGTATTGACAGTGTATTGTGTGTGTACTGATAGTGTATTGTGTGTGTATTGATAGTGTATTGTGTGTGCATTGATAGTGTATTGTGTTTGTATTGATAGTGTATTGTGTGTGTATATTGATAGTGTATTGTGTTTGTATTGATAGTGTATTGTGTGTGTATTGAGAGTGTATTGTGTTTGTATTGATAATGTATTGTGTGTATTGATAGTGTATTGAGTGTGTATTGATAGTTTATTGTGTGTGTATTGATAGTGTATTGTGTTTGTATTGATTTTGTATTGCGTTTGTATTGATAGTGTATTGTGTGTGTATTGATAGTGTATTGTGTGTGTATTGCTAGTGTATTGTGTGTGTATTGATAGTGTATTGTGTGTGTATTGATAGTGTATTGTGTGTGTATTGATAGTGTATTATGTGTGTATTGATAGTGTATTGTGTTTGTATTGATAGTGTATTGTGTGTGTATTGATAGTGTATTGTGTTTGTATTGATAATCTATTTTACGCGTATTGATAGTGTATTGTGTTTGTATTGATAGTGTATTGTGTGTGTATTGATATTGTATTGTTTGTGTATTGATAGTGTACTGTGTGTGTATTGGTAGTGTATTGTGTTTCTATTGATAGTGTAATGTGTGTGCATTGATAGTGTATTGTGTTTGTATTGATATTGTATTTTGTGTGTATTGATATTGTGTGTATTGATAGTGTATTGTGTGTGTATTGATAGTGTATTGTGTGTATTGATAGTTTATTGTGTGTGTATTGATAGTGTCTTGTGTGTATTGATAGTTTATTGTGTGTGTATTGATAGTGTATTGTGTTTGTATTGATAGTTTATTGTGTGTGTATTGATAGTGTATTGTGTGTGTATTGATAGTTTATTGTGTATGTATTGATAGGGTATTGTGTTTGTATTGATAGTGTATTGTGTTTGTATTGATATTGTATTTTGTGTGTATTGATAGTTTATTGTGTGTATTGATAGTGTATTGTGTGTATTGATAGTGTATTGTGTGTGTATTGATAGTGTATTGTGTTTGTATTGATAGTGTATTGTGTGTGTATTGATAGTGTATTGTGTTTGTATTGATAGTGTATTGTGTGTGTATTGATAGTTTATTGTGTGTGTATTGATAGTGTATTGTGTGTGTATTGATAGTGTATTGTGTTTGTATTAATAGTGTATTGTGTGTGTATTGATATTGTATTTTGTGTGTATTGATAGTGTATTGTGTGTATTGATAGTTTATTGTGTGTGTATTGATAGTGTATTGTGTGTGTATTGATATTGTATTTTGTGTGTATTGATAGTGTATTGTGTGTGTATTGATAGTGTATTGTGTGTGTATTGATAGTGTATTGTGTTTGTATTGATAGTGTATTGTGTTTGTATTGATAGTGTATTGTGTGTGTACTGATAGTGTATTGTGTGTATTAATAGTGTATTGTGTGTGTATTGATAGTGTATTGTGTTTGTATTAATAGTGTATTGTGTTTGTATTAATAGTGTATTGTGTGTGTATTAATAGTGTATTGTGTGTGTATTGATAGTATATTGTGTGTGTATTGATAGTGTATTGTGTTTGTATGAATAGTGTATTGTGTGTGTATTGATAGTGTATTGTGTTTGTATTGATAGTGTATTGTGTGTGTATATTGATAGTGTATTGTGTTTGTATTGATAGTGTATTGTGTGTATTGACAGTGTATTGTGTGTGTACTGATAGTGTATTGTGTGTGTATTGATAGTGTATTGTGTGTGCATTGATAGTGTATTGTGTTTGTATTGATAGTGTATTGTGTGTGTATATTGATAGTGTATTGTGTTTGTATTGATAGTGTATTGTGTGTGTATTGAGAGTGTATTGTGTTTGTATTGATAATGTATTGTGTGTATTGATAGTGTATTGAGTGTGTATTGATAGTTTATTGTGTGTGTATTGATAGTGTATTGTGTTTGTATTGATTTTGTATTGCGTTTGTATTGATAGTGTATTGTGTGTGTATTGATAGTGTATTGTGTGTGTATTGATAGTGTATTGTGTGTGTATTGATAGTGTATTGTGTGTGTATTGATAGTGTATTGTGTGTGTATTGATAGTGTATTATGTGTGTATTGATAGTGTATTGTGTTTGTATTGATAGTGTATTGTGTGTGTATTGATAGTGTATTGTGTTTGTATTGATAATCTATTTTACGCGTATTGATAGTGTATTGTGTTTGTATTGATAGTGTATTGTGTGTGTATTGATATTGTATTGTTTGTGTATTGATAGTGTACTGTGTGTGTATTGGTAGTGTATTGTGTTTCTATTGATAGTGTAATGTGTGTGCATTGATAGTGTATTGTGTTTGTATTGATATTGTATTTTGTGTGTATTGATATTGTGTGTATTGATAGTGTATTGTGTGTGTATTGATAGTGTATTGTGTGTATTGATAGTTTATTGTGTGTGTATTGATAGTGTCTTGTGTGTATTGATAGTTTATTGTGTGTGTATTGATAGTGTATTGTGTTTGTATTGATAGTTTATTGTGTGTGTATTGATAGTGTATTGTGTGTGTATTGATAGTTTATTGTGTATGTATTGATAGGGTATTGTGTTTGTATTGATAGTGTATTGTGTTTGTATTGATATTGTATTTTGTGTGTATTGATAGTTTATTGTGTGTATTGATAGTGTATTGTGTGTATTGATAGTGTATTGTGTGTGTATTGATAGTGTATTGTGTTTGTATTGATAGTGTATTGTGTGTGTATTGATAGTGTATTGTGTTTGTATTGATAGTGTATTGTGTGTGTATTGATAGTTTATTGTGTGTGTATTGATAGTGTATTGTGTGTGTATTGATAGTGTATTGTGTTTGTATTAATAGTGTATTGTGTGTGTATTGATATTGTATTTTGTGTGTATTGATAGTGTATTGTGTGTATTGATAGTTTATTGTGTGTGTATTGATAGTGTATTGTGTGTGTATTGATATTGTATTTTGTGTGTATTGATAGTGTATTGTGTGTGTATTGATAGTGTATTGTGTGTGTATTGAGAGCGGTAGTGTCGCGATCAGCACGATCATCTGAACCGGTGCAGCGCCTCCCCTAGGTCGACTCAGCCTCAAATGAGAACCTGGAGCGATGTGTAAACATCACCGCTGATGAAACAAAGGCAGCCGGCCGTGTAGTTGGCCACCCAACCCCTCGTGTGCCCTTCATAGGCGCTGCTTGCGACCCGCACTCCTACAGTCTGTAAAGTCTATACGGGGGGATCTGTATCTTCATGGCGTGTTTCCCCCCCCCCCCCCCCCCCCCCAGGGCCTATGCGGATGGGCACGTGCGAGGTGCTCAAAGCGCACCGCTGCTGCAACAAGAACAAGATCGAGGAGCGCTCGCAGACCGTCAAGTGCTCGTGCCTGCCCGGTCAGGTGGCCGGCACCACGCGTACGCGCCCGGGCTGCGTCGATGGTGAGGAGGCCCCCCCCCCCCACCACCTCCCTTCTGCCCCCCCCCCCACACACCTCTCTCGCTCTCCACTCCATGCCGAAGCTGCCTTCTTCTTAGAACAGCGGGTCGGCAAAGCTTCGGCTCTGGAGCCGCGGGTGGCTCTTCAAGGGGCTGCTTCGTGATGTTATTTATTGAGGACCGCCACTGTCTCGAATTCATCACTTCCCATCGCGGCGCCTCTTGAAATATTGAGTTTTGGTTAATCGTTTTCTGGGACTGCATTCGAACAAGAATTGCCCTTCTTGTTGATTTTTTTGTTTTGCCGACCCCTGCATTAGCACTGTCTATTTATTTACTGAGGTCTCAAATTTTGACTTAAAGCTTTCGTGACTGCAGGAATTCATATCCTTTACATATTGAGGTCTCCTTTATTCGCGTTTTCCGACGCACGCTGTGACGGTTGCGACGGCGAGCACGCGGCCGGCTCATTGCAGGATCGGGGCAGTGCGGTGCTCTGTCTGTGGAGCTCGTTGGTCGTGACTGGACGGGGACGGCCGGGCATATGTGACAAAATAGCTTTGTAGCTCATCGGATTCCTCCAGTATAAATGCATATTTTGATAAATTAATTAATGTGCGGAGACGGGGTGGGGGGGGGGGGAAGACGAGGGTGGTGTGGGGGCAGTGGCTGATGTAATGGGATGATTGGGTGCTGAGGATGGGGGCTGTTTCTTAAACCCCCCACGAACTCCAACCTCTGTCCACCCATCGGTATAAATGGGTAGACCACAGTTTAGTCCATTGATTTGAACGCGGAGTTTATTAATAGGTCGGAGCCGCTGATGTGGCTAATAAGTTTGATAAGTTCAAAAGGCTGCCGCTCAAGCAGCCTGCAGGGCAGCACACAAGGTGGCACCCTGCAGGGCAGCACACAAGGTGGCAGCCTGCAGGGCAGCACACAAGGTGGCAGCCTGCAGGGCAGCACGAGGTGGCAGCACAAGGTGGCAGCACAAGGTGGCAGCCTGCAGGGCAGCACGAGGTGGCAGCCTGCAGGGCAGCACAAGGTGGCAGCCTGCAGGGCAGCACAAGGGGGCAGCCTGCAGGGCAGTACAAGGTGGCAGCACGAGGTGGCAGCCTGCCGGGCAGCACGAGGTGGCAGCCTGCAGGGCAGCACAAAGTGGCAGCCTGCAGGGCAGCACAAAGTGGCAGCACAAGGTGGCAGCCTGCAGGGCAGCACGAGGTGGCAGCCTGCAGGGCAGCACAAGGGGGCAGCCTGCAGGGCAGTACAAGGTGGCAGCACGAGGTGGCAGCCTGCCGGGCAGCACGAGGTGGCAGCCTGCAGGGCAGCACAAAGTGGCAGCCTGCAGGGCAGCACACAAGGTGGCAGCCTGCAGCATTTTTCAGCAGCCGGATATTTCCGGTTATCCCGATGACCGACTTTCACAAAATTTCAGGCGGGGCTGAGTCCCCCCCAGCTCCCCCTGTGGCCCCGCCCCTGGTGGTGGTGGTGATTACGAGACGGCCGCGGCTCTCGATAAATAACATCATGAAGCAGCCCCGTAAAAGAGCCGCGGCTAGCCTCGAGAGCCGCAGGTTTTTTTTTTGTTGCGGACGACCTCCTGCCCTCGCGGAAGGCCTTCCACCGGCAGCGGGTTGCGCGAGTGTTCTATGGGGGGATGCTGGAAGGAAATTGTATTGAGTTCAACACGTGGTAGGCTTTCGCGACCAATATCATCCATAATACAGGGGTTTTTTTGGTGTTAGATTGCGTAAATATATGAATGTGTCGTTAAACCCGCCACTACCCGACGGAGATAACGAGTAAGGGTTGTCACGTAAACAGAACGTAGGCCAATTCGTCACTAGTACAGCACACCGGTGTGTTGGAGAGCCAAGCAACAACATTTACAATCTGAGAACGACGCTTGTCATTTATATGCATTCATTAATCCCCCCTCCCCTTCACTTCGCTCAAGAAGGACTCACAAGTGGCGTCATCACATCTACCCCTCTATATAAGGAACGAAACAGGATGAGGATTTCTCCACAACTCTGGCTGCCGCCTGATGAAGCTAGTTGTAATTACTGGCGAAACGTCGTACTCAGATTGTAAAATGTTGTGGCTTGGCTCTCCAACACACCGGTGTAGTGCTGTACTAGTGACGAATTGGCCACGTTCTGTTTACGTGACAACCCTTACTAGTTGGCTGTGTCGGGTGGTGGCAGGTTTAACGACACATTTATATATTTACGCGATCTAATAAAAAAAAACTCTATTATAAATGTTATCGACTTGCCGGCACGGCTGCGAGTGTGCGCAATCAGCGCTGTACGTTGCAGAGCGGAATTCGTGAGCCTCTTTTGAATACGACAAAATCCCCACCTACCCCTACCCGTTACTCGGCAGCTTCCGTAGGCGTGCGCCCAGCCTCCACTAACGTGGAGGCTGAGCCGCTGCCTTTTGAAGATAGACGAATGAGCCCCGGTTTTTTTTCCTCGAGGGCTCGGGCGATTAACTCCGCTCCCCCGCCTTTGTTTGCGTCGATGGTGACATATCACCCTTCATTAGTGGGGAGGGCCTGTGCACCGCGCTGCCTGGAGCCGCCGGCTTTCATCATTTCGGGGATTGTTCGCGCCTTGCCCCCCCCCGCCTCCCGCCCTGTTAGCGGCGCGGCTCACCGCGACGCGAAGTGGGAGTGGAGCGCGAGAAGAGGATGAGCTGAAGGTTGTCTCCCGTCGTCGGGAGGTGCACCCCGCACGGTGGCACCTCGGACAATGCACCCCTAACGTTGGGTGGCTCTTCTCCGTAGACTCAACACTGCACCAGGGACTTATGAATGCCCATTGACCCAATACTGCCCATAGACTCAACACTGTTCATAGACTCAACACTGTGCATAGACCAAATACTGCCCATAGACTAAATACTGTCCATAGACCCAACACTGTCCATAGACTTAACACTGTCGATAGACTCAACACTACCAATAGACTCAGCACCGCCCACAGACTCAACACTACCCATAGACGTAGCACTACCCATAGACTCCACGCTACCTATAGACCCAAAACTGCCCATGGACTCAACACTGCCCATAGACTCAACACGACCCACAGACTCCACACTACCCATAGACCCAACACTGCCCATAGACTCAGCATTGCCCATGTACATGAAACATTCCCCCTCCTTAACCTCCTTCCGTTAAACTCTCAAAACTTCTCTTCTTCTCTATCGCCAATTCCCTTCCTATTCCCTCCCCTTGTCCGTCCACCCTTTCCCTCCCCTGTAGCCCTTTCGAAACCCGCGCGTGCCTTCTGCTACGGTCACTCATCTCACGGCCCTCGCACTGCCCCTGCCGTCTAAATCACTCGAATGTTGTTTCCGCTTTTTAAACTTTGTTATACAGCACACGCCTTGAGCCTTGAGTCAAGGCGTGTGCTCTATAAATATAAAATAATATAAGCTAAGGTGACTGTTGTGTGAATGCCAGGTTTGCCCTACCCATAGTGCAGATGGCCCTCTGGTAAAAAAAATAAATGTCAATTTTACTGCCGAGCGACGAACATTTTTTTTGTAAGCCGGTGAAAGTTGCGTGGATTAAAAAAAAAACCGGTCCCTTAAAGGGACGTCAGAAGCGATTGAATTAAACCGTATTCCACACAACGCTCCCCGACCCGGTATGTGTGCGATAGATTTGCTCGGCGAGGAGTTCCGGATGGACGCACCATTGTCAGTGCGCGACTCGCGTAGCACGGTCGGAAAATGCAATTGGGGAAACGGGGAGTGTAGCGAGCCTGCCCGTCACCATCCCTGAAACATAGCTCAACCGTTTAATAATTGAGTCGGACGGCTATGATAATGATCCCGTGCGGTTTATATGTTGCTCACGGATTGTGCGAGAGTGTTTGAATAAGAAAGGGATTTTTTTTTCTTCAAATGATTATGTTGACTTCGTCTGTGCAATTTCGGTAAACATTGCACGGGGTCATGACCCTGGTACTCATGCAATAATTTTGTTTGATCTTTACATCTTGCCACGTGATCAAAGCTGGTTCGGGGTTCCCGCACAGCTGCATATTAGAAAAACTGCGAGATGTTAAGTTACCGTTTTTGTCCTGTCAGGGCATAAAGACCTCGCGTGTTGAAGAATTAAAAATGCAATCTTGTGACGGTTGCCGAGATGTAGCGCTGCCATGGAGAAATGATCAGCGCCCTCACTGGACTTGCAACCCGGAGGTCACCGGTTTGACTTCATGGTGTGCGGCAGCTGAAAACATGGTGCAAGTTTCTTCAATCCCTCATCATCTATACTGCTGTCCACGCAGCAGTATAGATGATGCATACCGTAGTTAGTCGATCAGGAGGTCGCGTGCGGTGGGGTAAAGTGTGGGTACCCCCACCTCGGGGGCGACGTGGTGGCGAGGGGTTAACTACCTCGCCTGGTACACAGGAGGTCGTGGGTCCGATCTTGACCCCGACGCCTGTATGCTTAGGGTTTGCGTGTACTCCGATTTTCCCCCTCCAAATTTAGAATAAACATGCGTTCAGAGTATTTGGCTGCTATACATTTCCAGCCGATGATGAGCCACTCCGTTGAGCTTTCAATTGTGGCCAGGTCGCTTCTTGAAAAACAAAGCTATGTAGCTCAGTAGGCTTTACCTGGTAAAATAGAAAAGTTTAATAGTTAATGGTTAAATAGTTTCAATGCCGTCTGGTCAGAATGGAAGAGTAATATCCAGAGAGGCTAACACGTAACGAGGTACGATCTAAGGAAGAGGCTCTCGAATGCTCCCTGTGGTGGTGGTTGTGGTGGTTGTGGTGGTGGTTGTGGTGGTTATGGTGGTGGTTTTGGTGGTTATGGTGGTGGTGGTTGTGGTGGTTATGGTGGTGGTGGTTGTGGTGGTAGTGGTGGTGGTGGTCGTTGTGATGGTGGTTGTGGTGGTGGTTGTGGTGGTTGTGGTTATGGTGGTGGTTGTGGTGGTGGTTGTGATTGTGGTGGTAGTGGTTGTGGTCGTGGT